GGATAGTTGAAACCCTCTTGAACATTCAGAAAGAGTGCATATGAAATTCTAATCACGAAAGGTGTTCCCCGAGGGGATACATACCTAGAGTTTGTTTTGTGAAGCACGTCAATTCTCTCCTGGGGAACGTCTTCGTGAGCCTCTTATGGTTTCAGGATAGTTCAAATCCTATGATGCTCCGATTCAATGCTCACCGATGATCTGAGCCATGGGGCAAGTTTGTTTTGCTAAGAATCTTTTTGAACATTTCGAGAGCATATGTTTGAACATTTAGAGTGCATATGAACATATATTTACGAAAGGTCGCCTCCGAGGGGATAAATCACCATGTCGAACATTGCATTTTTGTTCCTGCCTCTCGCGTTCTCTTCTCTTCCCGCTGTCCTACCTTTCGTGTCTCCCTCCTCTCAAGTTCCAGATGACTTGCTACCGGGGGCCGCTCTGGCCGTTCAACCCCTTCTTCCGCGCCCCAACCGTGCTCGTCCTCGCTTCGTGGCACCGATGCATTCGCTCCAATCCTCGGGCGCTTTGCCCCTGCGGCGTACATCGCACAGGACCTGTTGGCGTACATCGCCCGTCGCTCCATGGAGCTCATGAGGAGCTTCACCGGGCAGAACCTGGCGACCATCATTTGGGCCGGGGAAGATGGGGGAGATGGGGAGACCGAGAGGGGGAGACCGCGCGCCAGAAGAGCGCTCCAGTAAGCTCCAATAAAGAAAATAAAGTATTGCCCAATGGCTTTTCTTGAAAACTTGAAGAGTTGGTTTGAGAGTGCCAAAGAAGGCTTAGGGCTTAGATTTACCGTAGATCCTTCAGTTTTCAGTGTGATTTTGCTGTTCTTATTGGCCGACGGTCTGAGATTGTGACATGTGACATTTTTTTGAGAGTAAGATTGCTCTAGCAAGTCCAAGTTTGGAAGCTTCTGTCAGCTGTCTCAAAAGGTATGCTCTGCAAATCTTTTTGCACCAATCATTGCTTTGCTTCAGGCCATTGCCACCATCAGCTACAAGGACAAGCTATTTTCTAGATAAAGCGGTGAAGGGCAGTCGCATCCCCGCGATGGCGCTGACATGTCACGTCCAAATTCTACAAGAGACATGGTGCAGAAGACTGACACTAGACATTGCCTTGAATCTGCCCCACATGTATATTGTAGAGTGTATATAGAGTGTTTTTGCTTCGATCCGGAGGTTCAATATTTGGGTATACTCGGGTATAACTCTTGGCCCCCTTCGCGAGGATGACCCTTCCATCGATGAGTTCTTGCGGATGGCATTGGGAGCCATTATCGCTCGTGCCGGGGAGTTTCAGCCGCTGAACATCGTCACGTGGATGATTTGGCTGAACACTTTGGGCCTTTTTAATGGTGCATTTGGAACTTACTTACTGTAATGCAACTTACTCAATGGTGCCTTTGGACTATCCCAATGGTGCGCTGAGGCGCTGATCTCCTGGGGCCTAGCGAAGCTTTCGTTCAAAGCGGAAGCCGCCTTCGAGGCGATGTGTGCCGCTGGGATGGTATATTTTTTGCGGTGACAAAACATCGGGATGGCGGGGTTAATTTGTGTGAAACAGTGCTTGATTGGATTTGGGGGTTTAATCCAAGAAGAATGCACAGTGCTATGGCTGCTCACCTGTATGTAGGCTGCCGTAGGCTCGTCTTCCTTCGCTGATGTACGGATTCTTGGACATGTCATGCTTGGTAGGGGTAACACGGTCCAAGAATTGAAGAATGCTCAGCAAAGTAATTTTCTTTCAAGGAGGTGCATGGAGGCGGATTACTCCGAACTGTCAAGATGTAGTGCTGCATCTGCAACCGAGCTGTCTGTGGTAATACCACACAGTCCATGGTTTTCACAAGTAGGCTTGAAGGCCTCGGAAACAGAATGGCAAAGGCTTTGCTGGACTTGTGGCATGTTTTCTTGGCTTGTAATGTAAGGATGCAGCGGTGCAGCAGATTGACTATTTTGCGCCGCAGAACTTAGCCGCTCGGCTGATAGAACAACAATGTGGTTGTTCTATGCCCAGCTATGTCTTTTGATGACGAGAAACAAGCTCTCACATTTTTTTATCCTAGTGTACAGCTGCAGCCTCAAGCCTTTTTGGGTTCAACCCATCTCTGCAGAAGCCTGTTGTTGATGTATATACTTTCAATGTTATCATCATCAATTCGACAAGACTCCCAAAAAGTGTCATTGGATCCAATTGGAACGAATCTATATACGGTATATAATTCGCCTTTGAAGAAGCTCAATGGGTTAAAGTTGGCATGATCTTATGGTTTTGTGTGCTTTTCAGGTCTGCGCTCAATCAACTCAGGTACAGTTGCTTTGGGCCTGTGGCACGGCAGGCAGATGTGCCGATGTCGAATCGCCGTTGTCGAATCATCCAGCCCAAATGGGTCGAATCACAATTTATTAGCCTTCAAAGTTGCAGTCTTTCATATGTGCCACACATATGCAGCGAAGCGTGGCATTAAGAGCATGAACCAATTTTTGGTGCGCCAATATGGCGCGGCTAATATGTCATGTGTATTCTTGGTGCACATTGAACGATTGTCATAGAAAGATGAACACGACGCCACCGCATTTTCCAGCTTCTTCAATTCATGGGCCCAAATCGGAGTCTTGGGTAGTTGTACAATACGCCACTAGGACATACTAGGACAACAGTTTTTTTTCTTGAAGGTTCCAGATTGACAACCCCTTCCGCGTAGAAATATAAGACCTTTATGACCGCCCCACACGAGCTGACACCAGAAATCACTCCAGTCACACCTTAACACAAGGGTGACAAGTTAACCGTCCCACACTGGCCACGCGAGTCATGCACTTCTTATTTCGACCGCGGCTGATCCACGATGTTATGAGACCCGGAAAGACAACACATATTCTTCCTTCTGAATTATCCACTATGGTCTATAGTGGTGCTTCTGCTGTTTGAGGAATATTGAAGCATCAAAGGCTGCCATTTGCCAAGTGAACAACCAGAATATAATCAGTAGAATCCTCCGGAGGCTAGATAGTAGCTTTGCTGGATCTTTGTTGTGCAGGCTACAAGCATGAGAGCTTCTTGAGGGCAGCGGCCCGTGTGGCCAAGCGTACCATCGAGCAGTTCTCCTCACAACATCAGTCCAACTTCTTATGGGCCTGTGCTAGGCCAGGGTGTGATAAAGCGTTGTTTGAAGATGACGACACTTTGGTGACTTCTGGAATGAAGACCTTGACCTTTTCAAATCCCCTTTATCCACTATAATGGAGGCCAGAGATAAATTTAAAGATCGCTGTTCCACAAGTCGTGGAGTGCTTGAAGGTTCTCGATAACGGACTTCTAGAGTGGCAACACTTACAACTGCACAAACAGTTACTTCCCTGCATCTTCTTTCTGTCATAGATTTCAACAAACAAACCATTCTTAAAGAGGAGAATTCTTTGTGTCTTTGTTTGGAGGCTCAATTTCAAAGAGGATGTGGAGCTGCTGCGTGTCGTGGCCACGGCCGCGCAAAGGCCGCAGAACACCGTGACTGTCGGGCGAACACCGACTGTGGTGATCCTTCGGACCAACACTGATGCGTGCAAGCTTAAGGTGACCTGGTGAAGTAGCCAAGGTAGTAAGGCCCAAAGCTCCAAGATGAACACAAGCCCAATGTATTTTATATGGAGAATTAGATATAGGTATAGTATGGAGTATAGATATAGACATTGATATATTAGATATAGATATAGACATTGATATATTAGATATAGATATAGACATAGATATAGATATAGACTGTGTTTCCTTTCGTTTGGACCTTGAATCTAATTTGCGACTTGGGCAGCTGAGCGCTCCTGATCTGAAGGAAAATGCACGAGGGCAGCCCACAACACTTGTCGAACATTGCTTGGGTTGCTTGGCCGAAGCTTTAAAGTTTTTGAGAGATTCCAGCTGTCAAACATTTGTCTCAGAATGGCTGGTATAGCATATACATGTCTCTATTTTTAAGATAGACCTGCTTCAACCTTCTCATGAACTCAGTTGCAATGGTCGGTAAAGCCCAGGCTGCAAGTCAGCTGGGACCACAACACTTTCAGGAGCAGGGATGTGAAGTGAAAAGAAACATGCCAAGTTTGGTGCTTGCTTTGGAAAGGACAGTTGTTCAGAGTTTCTTTCTTTTTTTCCCTTTCAGGAGTGTTTGGTGGCGGTTTTGAACGAGACCTCGCGGCGGATCAAAGAATTCGAGGCTGAGTTGCATTGGATCAGACCGGTCGTTGTGACACTTCTGAACCGAGCAGATTCTGCCTTTCAACACTCCTCACTGGGCCTGTAGCCTTCCCGTTGGCCCGTTGGCCCTGACAGATGCAATGGCACACGAAGATTGAGTGTCATCAAGGCCCCATAGCGGTGCCTATGAAGTTTAGAGGATTTGCTTTGCTAACTTTAGGCTATTTATATAGAATGTTGGGACCAAAGGTAGCCTCCAGACCTCAGGCATGCCCTTCTTGAGTTAGGAATTGCTTCTCAGGTCCACCCCCTCACTCACCCCAAGACTCTTTTTGGGCCCAGCACTGATGTGCCAAGGACCCTCCTTCAATCATGTGCCTCGGCAATCCCTTAGCAAGCGCAATCAATCTCGAAACCCATGCAAGATCATGCAAGCAACAAACAGTCGGTGCAAGAGGTTATACACTCAAAGACACACGCTTTTGTCAACCAACCAGAACTTTCTGTCGAGTGCTCTCTGGCACTGAGGATGCTGAGCGACTCCTTGTACGAAGCCAACTTCGGCGGTGGAGAGATCATGCAGGCTGGGCCTGGAGACCTCCGAGGCTGTCAGAGGCCGATGTTCTTTTGGCCTAACATTGCCACCGGTGCGACCGTCGCCGAGGTGCTGCGAGGGCAGGTCCAGCGTATGGGGAACGAACTGCCGCCTGGTAGCAGCTACATTCACCGACTCTCTCCCTCTGTCTTGACCAGTGCCATGAGGGTCTTGGAGCAGCTTTGCTGGTTGCTCTTCCGGGGTCGATTTGATTAGTATCTCCAAGAATTTGTGGCATCAAACCGGTACATAGAAACCCATGCCATTCTTGGCAATGATTCCCCAGGTATGCCAGACTTCACTGGGGTAGGTCGAACACCACCTCGTCTCGAAGATTCTGGAATCTCTTTTTCCACCTCCCAGGTATGAGATTTTCACCACTGGGCTGCCACGTGGCACACGCGGCCTCTGTGGGCACCAGGAGCTCACGGAGTATCAACGGCGCCTGAGAAATCTAGGGCTCACCACGTTCGGTGGCTTGGTCTGGAAAAAAGGCGCTGGTCGTGGGTGGTTGGGTGGAGTGAGATCAAGGCAGGTTGTGTATTGACTTGTCTGATTATATACCCAAGTCAGCGGTTTGTTGAAAGACGTGAGCCCAATCTTTCACAAACTCCGGGATCTTTTTCGCATCGACCGAAGTGAGACTGATGAAGATGAACCAGTAAACCAACAGTATATCAACACCAAGTGGCAGACGATGTGAGACCCTGAGGTGGTGTGAAGGGGGTGAAAAAGAATCAACCAGATTGGTGGGACGTTGAAGTCTTAGGCTATGAGCACACCACCTCGCTCTTCCAGCAGCTGCAGCTCTGTGAGGGTCAACCCTGGCAGGTGGCTGAAGCCATGGCCATGCCAGGTGACGCCGCACGATGCGCGATTCGGCGCGAAGCGGCACCGGGGGATCAATAGCGATGGCCTCCAACCTAGAAGCAATGGCCTCCAACCTAATGGCAAACACTATATAGGTGGTTTCTTCCCAGGCATAGGTCTTGACTCCACCTACCTTCTCCATTTGCCGCCGGGTGGTTTACAGTAGGGAGTTGCTTGTCACTGCTTGAATGTGCAATCACTATGTGTACTTGCTGCTATGTATGCCTGGTGGGTGTTTCAAGGAACAAACGATGGTGATGATCATTGCAATCCCTTGGTGTTTGCCCTCTCAGCCAGCAGCTCATCCCACACCATTTGGAGCACCAGGTTGGACGACCAATGCGCGGCGCACCACAGTGGCGAGGAGGTACTCTTTGCGCCTGGGGTCCCGCAGTTTGGAGGTTCCTTGGCTGATGATCTCCAATCCCCAAGTTGGTCAAGGAGCTTTGGGAGAGGCTCCGTGGTGAGTCACCCCTCAGACATGGATTGATGCCGGACCCTGAAGCTTCAGTGACAGCTGGCCATGTCATGCATCATCGGAGAACCAGATGTTCAGCCGAGGACCCTGGAACCATTTTCACCAGTGCGTTCGCATCTGCACAAGAGGATGCCCAAGCTGACTTCATAGACACTTGGTGGCAAGGAGCCTTTCGGTCCTTCTTCTAGTGAGCCCTTGTACTGGAGCAGGCGGATACCAACCCTTGAATTTGTCATGGGTTAGTTCGAGTTGCTACCTGCCATCCAATTGGTTGTTGGATTGTTGTAGTTCCAGCAATTCAAAGGTTGAAGTTACCGCAACAATTGAAATGTACTCACCAAACCGGGGAAGCAAACAACCCAGCGAGGAGTTAAACCTCCAACTTCGTGCTTGTCAAGCAGTGTGCAGCCCGCATGGGCAGACAGCTTGCAAAGACGACGCCTTACCCATTAGGCAACTGGGTCACCTATCCTCAAGTCCGGAACCCTCGTGTTGCCTTGACCGGATGCTGTCCTACGGCGCTCGGTGGGTCCTCTTTGCTCCAAGCACCACGCGTGGAGACATGTGCTCCCGCATGGGTACCTTTCTCTTGGCATCATCCGCCCGGAACAAGTCCGTGGGCGCCCTCTGCTTTTTCTGCGACGAGCACGCTGTTTTTACGACGGCTCGTGGACGGCTCGCGCCGCGGCTCGCGCCGCGGCTCGTGCGTTCGCAGGTCGTTTGGCTTGGCCAGGGCAAGGCCGACTCCCCTAGCATCGGCCGGGCAGGCCGCAGCGGCGACGCCGAGCTCGGGGCGCCCGGCGGGTGCGGTGAGGTAGAGAGACACATCAGCGTGCACACGGTGTGAATCTTTTGGCATTTTTTGGCTCTGGCTGCGCTCGTTTTTCGTATTTTTTTGGCCGAGGTGTCGCGCGATCCTGGCCACGCACGAGATGTTGAAGAAGGTCAAGGAAGAGGCCCAATGATGGGTTGGAAGGCGAACAGTGCATGTTACAAGCTTTCATTCTTTTGGGCAGCCTGAGTCAACTTCATTTGTGTTCCGTTCTTTTGAAGCCTTGGGCCTTGATAAACATTTGTTTGAACACTTGCCATTTGAACCAAAACTATCCAGAAGAAAACCGGCCATGACTCTTCGCAGGAAGGCTTTTCAGACGTGAGTGGCACCTTGGCCTTCCACACCTCGGGCGTGCCCTGCTTGTCGTGCGTGGGCGTGGCGACGCAATTCAAGCGCCACTACCCGAAGGTGAGCGGGGGACCCCATTTCCGACGGGCGGGGTGTGGCGTGGCGAACCGGCTCCAAGCCATTTGACCAACAGCGACACATCCAACATTCGAAAAGACAGATTCCAATGGTCAGAAGTTTGTGAGAATGGGAGTTGAGTAGATGTGAAGCAGGGGGCCGGTCACATATACTTTGGCATTGGTTTTTCTGCCAAGGCTTTTGCTTCACCTTCATGAACCGCCCACTTTCGGAGCGAGAAGAGAGTGCTGCCCTGAGTGATTCAGTAGGCGAAGCTGATGTGATTGGATTCTGAAAGAGCTCGTGCTGCTCGGAATCCTCCCTGTACGCTTGCAAGCGTCCTTCGACCTTCAGCTTGCCTTGGTTGATGCCTCCCTTCGTCCCCTGCGACCGCTGAGGCATGACCGAGGCTTCCGCCTCTTGGCCGCAGGGAGCAGGACCACGCTGGGAGCGTGGTCCACCAAGGGGGGGAAATGAGGCGTGAAAGCAGCAGCGTTTTTGGGCTTCAATGCGACATCAAGAGCTGTGGTGCATGAGCTCTTGCTTTCCAATTGTGACAATTGTACCGTGTTGCAACTCATGGTCCAATTTCAGGTGTTCCACTCTGACCACACCCGACCGATTTTGCCCAGAGTGCCAATCAGCTGAGTTTTGAACGAGTGGCCTCCCCCTAAATCAGCGGTGGTGCTGATTTCAGCTTTTCTCCAAAGAATCATGGTACCTCAGTACCTCCCATGTTGGGCGGAAGCTGTGTTTGGTCACTCTCTGCCATCTTCTGCCTTTGGTCCGAAGGTCGTGTGACCCTCGCAGGCTGTGGTCCCCAACGTGGCCCTCGCGCCCAAGACGCCCCGGAGGACGCGCGCGAGGTCTGTCCGTGTCAGCTTCGATGATCAAGGGAAGCTAGGAACGCGTTGGCTGTGGCGAATGAGTGTAACGGTGTATATATCCAAAAGAGGATCAGAGAGAATCCATGAAGATCCTATTGTGATTCCTTGGCTTGAGAACTCTCTTAGACCATGTGCTGTGAAAAGCACCGGATAATAGCAGCGGAGCAGGTACTTTGTGCAGTTTTTGGTGGAGCGTCGAAAACTGGTGCCTAGATTGACCACTCGCAGGGAACCATTCCATCAGGCTTGAAGAGAGAGAGAGAGAGAGGTCCTGGAACCTCTTCGCCTTCCGATTCCGATGAGTTCTCCGCCTTCAGCTTTTCACCCTTTTCACCCCGCACTCTGCGCCCTCATCCGCGGAGTCCTTGCCAGGACTGATACATCTAGACCGCCTCCCAGCAATGGAGGCAGGGTGAAACCAGGTCTGTCTTCAGAAGTCCTGGAAGCACCGCACTTGCCTGTGGGAAGAACCTATGAGTCTTGTAGCCGAGCCCTTTGCAAGCTTTCTGACTAACAAGCAGAATGGCAGCCTTCTCTTTTGAGTGTACAGTCTAGTGACTCTAGTGCTATATACAGTAATGCTTTTAGATGCTTTTCGTACTCAACTGAAGGCGTCTACTGGTAGCCCCAACTTTTGTTGCGACGCAGGTGGTGTGTCAGAGAACTACCATCCAGGATACAGGCAGGTGAATTTGCCTGTGGTCTGGAACTGTGAGCTGTCTTGATTCGGTGCCATGTGCTTTGCGATTTGTTTGAATTATCTTCAATCCATGTCAGGTTGTCAGGTTGTTGAACATGACGCTCCACCCTAAAACATCAAAACGAGCAAATTTGACGCGATTTCTTCCACAACTGTGAGTTGAAGTCTTTGCTACCTGTAGGACTGATGTACCAAGACCGCCCGCGAGCAACGAAGGCAGGTGTGTCCGATGGACTTGCTTTCTTCAGTGCCTCGAAGCACTGCTGTTATTTAGGACAGAACTGTGCACTGATGTGCACTGTCTTTGCGCAATCTTTTTGACAAGCCAGTCAGCGTTCCCTTCGCGTTAGCCTGTGTTACACCCAGCCCACTGCAGGTGGTATGACCGAGAACTACCATGCGGGATACAGGCAGCTGAATGATTGAACTGCGGAGGGGAAGTTTCATATTGTTTCATGTTATTGTCTCGGTATGAATCATTAATTCACTCATGTTTCTTGCTTAAGCTGCGAACAGTGTGGAGCTTCTGAGCTTATCTGAATTGTGACTCGTCAGTTTGAGATGGCGGAGTACCGATGAGACTTTGAGTCATGTCAATTGAATCAACTGACGCGGTCAGTTGATTTGGATTCGTGGTCTTTGGAGTCTCTTTGTTAGGACTGATGCATTTCGACCGCCACCCAGCAACGGAGGCAGCGCGCGTTGCGTAGCTTCGTTTTCACAAGTCTCTGAAGCTCAGTTTGGGTGTGGGAACTACCTGCGAGTCATGTGTCCATTTGCACCCATTTACCATTTTTCTGACAAACAAGCAGAACACGCTTGGCATCACATCGCCTTCTCAGAGTGCTGTTGTTGCTCAACTGACGGGGCTTTGCTTTTGTGCCGAGCCCACCGTTCCCATCGGTTGGCCTTCTGTCGGCAGGTGGTGGCGCCGTGTCGAGCCCCCTTGCAGGATCCAGGCGGTGTGTCGTCTTGGTCGAACGGAACGGGATTCCGCTAACAGCGCATTAAAAATCATGCCTGTCAGACGACCGAGCTTCTATTCTTTCCGATTCAACATTTCTTTTTTTTGTTCACAATACAAGAGTGTAACACAAGAGTGTCCTACCAGAGAGGTCCGCAAGAGTGTCCCACAAGAGTGTCCCACGAGAGTGTCCCACGAGAGTTTTCGACAAGAGTGTCCTACAAGAGTGTCCTACCAGGGAGTCCCATAAGAGTGTCCTACAAGAGTGTTCCGCAAGAGTCTCCCACCACAGTGCACAAGAGTGTCCCACAAGAGAATCCTACAAGAGTGTTTCGCAAAGTGTCCTACAAGAGTGTTCCGCAAGAGTGCCCCGCAAGAGTGAGTGTCATACAAGAGTGTCCCACAAGAGTGTCCGACAAGAGTGTCCCGCAAGAGTGTGCCACAAGAATGTCCGAGAGTGCCCCACAAGAGTGACATACAAAAGTGTCCCACAAGAGTGTCTTACAAGACTGTTTTGCAAGAGTGTCCTACAAGAGTGTCCTGCGCAAGGTGACAAACAAGAGTGTCCCACAGTTGTGTGTCCTCAAGAGTTTTCCGTGTCCCCCAAGACAGTCCTACAAGAGATACAAGAGTGTCCCGCAAGAGTGACCACAAGAGTGTCCCACGAGAGTGTCCCACAAGAGTGTCCCACAAGAGTGTCCGACAAGAGTGTCCAGTGTCCTACAAGAGTGACATACAAGAGTGCCGCGCGTGAGTGTCCCACAAGTGTGTCCTACAAGGGTGCTTCGACAGTGTGTCCCACAAGAGTGTTTCGCAAGAGTGACATACAAGAGCCTTCCACAAGAGTGTCCCGCAAGAGTGTCCCACAAGAGTGTCCCGCAAGAGTGTCGGCCCATAACAGTATCCCACAACAGTGTCCTACGAGAGTGTCCCACGAGTGACATGCAAGAGTGTCCCACGAGAGTGTTCCACAACAGTGTCCGACAAGAGTGTCCTACAAGGGAGTCCCATAAGAGTGTTCTACAAGAGTGTTCCGCAAGAGTGCCCCACAAGAGTGCACAAGAGTGTCCCACAAGAGTGTCCTACAAGACTTTCCCACAAGAGTGTTCTACAAGAGTGTCCCACAAGAGTGTCCCGCAAGAAGAGTGTCCCACAAGAATGTCCGACAAGAGTGTCCTACAAGAGTGCCCCACAAGAGTGTCGTACAAGACTTTCCCACAAGAGTGTCCTACAAGAGTGTTTCGCAAGATTGTCCCAAGAGTGTGATATGATATAAGAGTGTCCCTCAAGAGAGTCTTACAAGACTGTTTCGCAAGAGTGTCCTACAAGAGTGTCCCACAAGAGTGTCCTGCAAACAAGAATGTCCTACAAGAGTGTCCTACAAGAGTGCCCCACGAGAGTGTCCTACAAGAGTGTTCCGCAAGGGTGTCCCAGAAGAGTGAGTGTCATACAAAGTTTCCCACAAGAGTGCGCAAGAGTGTCCCACAAAGGTTTCCGAAAGGAATGTGTCCTACAAGAGTGTCCCAAAAGTGTCTCCTGCAAGAGTGTCAAATATTTTTTGAGTGTTTGTTTTCGAGTGCGTGTTTGCATTCGGGTTCGTGGGCTCCATTTTGTTTTATATTTTTTTCGCAGGTCTTTCACCTGCAACCTCCATGCCCATGCTGGTTGTCTCGCGTGGCCCGCTGTGTAGGGGGAGGATGGTGGGTTGCACTCCCACAAGGAGAGGGTTGGTCACGAAGAGTTATCCCTAAAAAGATCCCGAAAGTGACAGATGACGGTTATGCAGGCAGATTGAGGATGCCCGTAAAGATTTGCAAGAATGGACCAGGCACTGTTTATGTACTGTTGACTCTTGACGTAAATAATTGGATTTGGCTCTTGAGGTATTGTCGCATGTGCTCCATGTATGCTTATGACTTCTTTGTTGCACATAATCCATATCTGTGAAGACCAGTTGTTCGGTTCGCACTCTTGATGTGCATCCTCCAAAGATTGGGAAGTCTTTGCCAGGGCTGATGCACCTAGACCGCCGCCCAGCAACGGAGGCAGGGATTGGTTGCTTGGAAGAGCAAGATCCCTTTATCGACTGCATTTCTGAACGAGATCTCATTTGAAACAGGTTTCCATCAGGTTCACCCCGGATGACATAACATGTCATTTGACACATGCACCAGTCGAACTCATTGCTCATTTGTCCGGATAGTCTCACGACTGCAGGTGGTGCGTGGGACAACTACCGCCCAGTGTTCAGGCAGCTGGATTTGTCCATTTGTATGTGTCCAAGCTCTAGCTCAATTGACTTAACGCTTGGGGTCTATGGTCTATGTCATGTGTATACGTGATGGTAAAACTGGTAAACCCCCAACCGTTCAGGTGCAGGGACTGAACCTAGGACACGCTAGCAAAGGATCTAAAAGATTCTAAAAGGGTAAACTGGAGACTTTTGATTTGGACCTAACAGAGATCTGAACTGGTTGCAGAAAGGGCAATGTACCTGGGACTACAAGGAATGTCATCTGTGGATCCGCAGTGTGCAAAGTTGTATCCCAAGAGCCTCGTCGACAAGATCCTCCGCTGTTTGCAGCTTCTCATAGATCCGGATGACATCGACATGTAGTAGGCTCCTAGGGCTTCGAAGGGCTGGGCTTCGGGTGAAGAATCAGATTCAAACAATACCTAGCTTCTCAGACCAGTCCGCTCAAATCCCCACGGTTTCGGTGGGGTTTCTCTCACCCCAGTGGCCCCAGCATCGCTGAGCGGCCGCTCGCCGCAGGTGACGCCGTGCGAAAAAAAAAGGGACGCGGCGAGGGTTGCGGGAGCAGAGCCTTGTTGAGGTCCAAGGCGAAGACGGGTCTTCTTGCGATGCTTCTCCTGTTTCCGCCAACCATGTTGCTTTTGATCCCAGCCTTCCGGGGGAATATATATATAGTATATTTTTCCCAGCTCGCCAAAGGCTGATATGGGTATCATGAGTATTTGTCATCACTGCCTCCAAGGACTTTGGCGTCATGGACAGTGTGACGCAGTGATGCACCATGTTTTGCTCGAAGTACATCCAAAATGAAGGTAGCAACAACATGCAACACCAGCGCACCAAACACCGAACAGGAACAACACGGCAGCGAGTCGCCATCATGATTGCCACCGAGAGTCGCCTTGCCATTTCCTTCGTGCCATGGGGCAATGTGGAAGTTGCAAGAACTGCGTGGAGGGATGTTTACCCACCTCATGGAGGATGCAGCAATACCAGAGTCCAGAGACCCTTGGCCTTTGTTGGTGTGATCACTTTGGTGACTTTCTGGGGCGTTCTGAAGTTTCAACTTGAGGCCTCCTTGTTCCTGGATGGCGTTCATGCAAGACTGGCCCTAGGAATATGTGTTTGTCCCCCCTGAGACCTTAAGAGCGGTTCTGAGACATTTGATCACCATCCGGATTGGTTGGTGAATGTCTACTTGTAACACAGCGTTGGGTGCACAGCGCTGGTTGAGAGACATGATTCTTCAACCGCCCCTTTTGCCATTACAGCCAGCTTCCTGATGAAATCTAGTTCCAGATGAACAACTCATCGTTGCCATGCCAATCCAGGTTAATTTACCTTCAGCAACTCTGGGGCAGCTGGTCAACACCCCGTGAGCGATTCGCAGGGTCTTCGGTTGGTTCTGCTTTCGGCTTGTAGTCGAAACCGACCTGGTCACCCGGGGGGGGACGACCTGGTCACCTGACGTTGACCAAGGCCACCACCGTTACAGGTTACCAACAACGAAATGGGCACCTCCGTGTATTCCAGGCGTTGACTGTTCAACTGATGATTGGTTGGCCTACTGTATCCTACTATGTATCCCACATTCGGTTCACACTGTGGGACAGTCTTGGCGAGTTGCAGGGCCACGTTCTGGTGAGTGACACCGGCGGAGGACCCCCGTGCCCAGCCACTGCCCTCGCCGGCCTGGTCTTCGACTGCTTGTCCCCAGCTCGCAGTGACCACCATCATAAGGCCGGCAGCCAAGCCCGCCCATCTGGACAGGGTCCAGCGACCGTGATGCGAGTGATCTCCCTGTCTGGTGTCCAGGCCTTTTCTAGGCTCTTTTCCTCAGGAGAGCCTCACGCTCGCTTTCAAGCGCGTTTCCCAGCGAGCGGTTTGAGGGCTTCAAGTTTCTGGTGGTCGAGGATTTGGTGAACGCCTTCCCCTTCGACACCTACATTCGTTGGCGAGCGAACCGGAACTTGGAGTGGGATGGCCCTTTGGGGCGTCCTCCAGTCAAACGCACGCGCTCCGGACTTGTGCCCCCTGCAGGATCAGCAGCTCACAACAGCGTACTGGGTTGTATCTTTGCCACGACAAGAGGGGTGTATGACGAGTGGTGTATTGACCAGCAGTTGAATGTCCTGTCCTGCATAAATGCAACCAAATACTATCAGTATGAACTGTGCCAAACCTGCACGCCGCGAGAGATGACTCAGCAGCGAGAGATGACTCAGCCGCGAGAGATGGCTATAGCGAGAGCTGACTCAGCAGCGAGAGATAAATGAGCAGCGAGAGATGACTCAGTCGCGAGAGATGACTCACAGCAGCGAGAGCTGACTCAGCAGCGAGAGATGACTCCTCCGCGTACTACACTTGTACTACAAACTGGCCAGTTCTCAGCTTCCAGCTCCACAGGTTGTTCCGCGTGCTAAAGTTGTACTAGAAAGTCGCCAGTCAGTTCTCATCTTCCAGCTCCCCAGATGCTCCGCGTACTGCAGTTGTACTACACAGTCGCCAGTTCTCATCGTCCAGCTCGCCAGATACTCCGCGTACTAAAGTTGTACTACAAAGTCGCCAGTTCTCAGCTTCCAGCTCACAGATTGCTCCGCGAACTAAAGTTGTACTACAAAGTCGCCAGTTCTCAGCTTCCAGCTCTCCAGATGCTGTGCCTGCCACGAAATCTGCCCATGGAGGTTCACAAAGTGCTGCGCCTGCCACGAAATCTGCACCTCGACGCTCACAAAGTGCTGTGCCTGCGGAGAAATCTGCGCATGGAGGTTCACAAAGTGCTGCACCTGCCACGAAATCTGCGCATGGAGGTTCACCAAGTGCTGCACCTGCCACGAAATCTGCACATGGAGGTTCACAAAGTGTTGTGCCTGCCACGAAATCTGCACATGGAGGTTCACAAAGTGCTGCACCTACCACGACATCTGCGCATGGAGGTACACAAAGTGCTGCACCTGCCACGAAATCTGCACATGGAGGTTCACAAAGTGCTGTGCCTGCCAGGAAATCTGCACATGGAGGTACACAAAGTGCTGCACCTGCCACGAAATCTGCGCATGGAGGTTCACAAAGTGCTGCGCCTGCCACGAAATCTTCACTTCAAGAAACAAGTGAAAACTCTAATCCCAATGGACGGACGATTCCGAGAATGATCCGAGCATGACCCGAGACCGTCTCGCAACCGTCGTTCCGCAGACCTTGACTTGCCAGCTTCGGAGCCACCGGTTCCATTGAAAAATACAGCATTTCGTGCGTTCGCTATCTCTCCGCAACGCATTTTGTATTGCGCCTGCCAGGAAATCTGCGCATGGAGGTACACAAAGTGCTGCACCTACCACGAAATCTGCGCATGGAGGTTCACAAAGTGCTGTGCCTGCCAGGAAATCTGCACATGGAGGTACACAAAGTGCTGCGCCTGCCACGAAATCTGCACATGGAGGTTCACAAAGTGCTGCACCTGCCACGAAATCTTCACTTCAAGAAACAAGTGAAAACTCTAATCCCAATGGACGGACGATTCCGAGAATGATCCGAGCATGATCCGAGCATGACCCGAGACCGTCTCGCAACCGTCGTTCCGTAGACCTTGACTTGCCAGCTTCGGAGCCACCGGTTCCATTGAAAAATACAGCATTTCGTGCGTTCGCTATCTCTCCGCAACGCATTTTGTATTGCGCCTGCCACGAATGATGAGTGGTGTATGATGAGTGATGTATGATGAGTGGTGTATGATGAGTGGTGTATGATGAGTGGTGTATGATGAGTGGTGTATGATGAGTGGTGTCTGATGAGTGGTGTCTGACGAGTGGTGTCTGATGAGTGGTGTATGATGAGTGGTGTATGATGAGTGGTGTATGATGAGTGGTGTATGATCAGTGGTGTATGATGAGTGGTGTATGATGAGTGGTGTATGATGAGTGGTGTACGATGAGTGGTGTATGATGAGTGGTGTATGATGAGTGGTGTATGATGAGTGGTGTATGATGAGTGGTGTATGATGAGTGGTGTATGATGAGTGGTGTATGAT